GAAATGACCTGCATTAAAATTGAGATTTGAAAAATATAATCCCCTCCCGTTGATATTTTCAATCATGGGGGTTTTTTTGAATATTTTATTTTATTTTTTCAACATTGTCAACTCTAAATATTTGTTAACAAAGGATCGTGTTCCAGATATCTTTTTGTGAGTTGTCATACCAGCAATAAACTAAAGAGTTTTTGTTTTGTAATGAGCTTTCTTTGTAAAAGGCATTAAAGGCATAATGTGAATTTAAAATCAAATATAATCGTGGATTTTAAAACTATAAGTTCATTCATGATGATAGGATTTATTTAGCATGATTAAAAACTTATCGTTTGGATATCTCTCCTGAGGTTAAGTCTCGTAAACCCCAATCCTTGCAAGGAGGATCGAATTTGAAATGTGGGACTTACGATTCTGGCTTAAAGATAGAGCAGCCCTTTCGAGAGAGTGTATATAACATTGATACTTAAACATTCAAAATTTAAAAGAATATTTAAATTTTCTAAAATAATAATAGAATTTCAAAATATTTGCATGCACTTTGAGGAGAATCAAATATAAATTCATTCCATTTTAACCCAACATAATATTCTAGAATCTCAAATTTAGGAGTTTGATATATTGGTCAAAGCACAACGCTAGTAAGTTTGGATTAAAAAAGAGATGTAATTTTTTTAAATAATCAAGCAATCACGCACTTTTTAAAACGAGAAGGATTTGGTTTAGTTTATTCCACTTTTAACCGCGCAACATTCTTAAACCTTAGATTCAGGAGTTTGATGCATTAGTCGGAACACATGAGGATAAGTTTGGATCTCAATGATCAAATATATTGCGCATGCTTTTTATGTATTTGCACGGCATACTTGCACATTTCACAATGCATTCATACAGTATACTTGCATGAAGCACTTACATATTTCTTGATGCACTAATATGATGCACTTGCATACTTGCACAATCTTCGCAACATTTACACAGTGTGTTTGGACATTCATTAGTATATTTGTATTTTTTTTTTTTTTTTGCACTTGCAAGTGCATTAGCAAGTTTTCAGAACATTTGGATTGCACATTTCGAGGACACGTGGATTTTTTTTTTTTTTGAGATTTGACGTGTCCCCACACTTTATCAAAATGGTTGTGCGACCAATGACACAACAATCAGTGATTTATCTTATTTAAAAAAAATTCATTCACGGGCATGTTCACGGAATATTTAAGAACTCATCTTTAGAAATTAGTATATATTTCCTAGGGCACCGATGCACACATGAAGTGCAACTGGTTTTACTATTTTGTTTTAATTAAAAACTATCCACATGATTGAAAATTGAAATGTCTAAGATGTGTGACGATCTGACATAGCAATTCTTCATGTGAATGTATTATCATTGGAGCGTGCTCATGACTTATCATTTTAAGTTCATCATTACTCGCATTATGCCCGCTAATGTATGTTGCGAATCCGATTGTAAGCGTCGCGACTTAAGACTTTTGCATGTCGTTTGCATTTTTTTTAATGAGGCAATTATTAATGTGGCTTGTAAGTCAATTAGATGGGACCCACAGGACATCAATTTTATAAGTGGTAGGAAACTCATTCGTTTCACTATTCAAACTCTCATCTGCCTCATAATTCAAAGAGTTATGGGTGTTCATATGGAATTAGTGAGATTTATTCATGTCGATGCCCAAATTCTCCAGGTTCTTTACAAGTTCCCTATGAGTTCAATTTACATTCAATTATTACCACATAGTTTTCATAATTTTCAACAATTTTTTAATTTTGATTTTAATCTTTATTTTGTAATTTGCATTTGTTCATTTTATCAATCTTGCAACATTTATATTCCAAAATATTGTTTTATTTTGTTCGTTTTAAGTTCTATGCAACTCGGGTTCACTATGACTTTAGATACCCATACGACTTATTTCCAGTGTAGGGAGCAACTTTGAGAGTGGTAGGCCTTCCCATCACATCAAAAAAGGCATGCATGATTGGTGTCATAAAACACCGCGACCGGAGGGCTTCTATACCACCATACCAAGAAAGGTGTGCATGTCTCCATGCACTTGCTTAGAGGTTGCAATGTTTCACAACACGTTGAAAAAGACACGCACAAATACTTAAATTTGAATTTTCTGCATTTTGCTAAAAAACAGGACTTACCCGTCGCATCACAAATGTCATCTACGGGTTTCCCTATCGCACTAAGGAAAGCATGTGCTAGTTACACTCGTAGCATTGAATCAGCCACATTCAAGGGATTTTGGGGATTTTTTAAGAGTTTGCAAACTTATAACTTTGCGCATAAGGAACAGAGTTGACAGCAATTATGAAGCAAGTAAACCAAAATTTTTCTATTTTCCTTTTTTCTTTTTCTTTTTTTTATTCTTACCTTTTTCTTTCTTTTTTTTCTTTTTCTTGCTTTTTTCTTTCCTTTCTCTCTCTTTTATTTTCTTTTATTCATTTTTCTTTATAGAGAGAGAAAGGGGAGCGATAGTCAATAGAGAAGGAAAGTGAAAGAAAGAAAAACTGATAGTTAGAGAGAAGGTTAAAGAGGAGGGAGTGAGAGAAAAATATATATTAAAAAAAGAGTGAAAGAGATCTATAGAGAGTTAAAGAGGAGAGAGTGAGAATGAGAGAGGCACTGAGAGAAGCAAAGAGAGTGAGAGAAATTGAAAAAGTGAAAGGAGGGGGAAAGAGAGGGATAGGGAAAGGTCAGCGGGTTAGGCAGCGATGGCGCTTAGGCACAATAGAGACGTGTTAGAGGGTTGAGCATAAAAGCGCATCGACGCCTCTCTCAGCGAGGTTCCAGTCCCCACTTTCTTGCTCCAAGTTCAATATTCTCATCAATACCCTCTTTGGCGGGCTTCTGTGCGCCTTCCAAACTTCTTACGCCAAGCATTTTGGGTACTTGGTTAGGATCAGAAGTGTGGCAACGATTTCAAGAGATGAGGCCGACAACTAATCACACGGGAAGAATGAATCTTGCTGAAATCAGAGAGCAAGAGGGAGAGTGTGAAAGAGAGATGAAGACAGCGAGAGAAATGAACAAGTAGAGGGACTTACACGTGATAAGGGAGAACAAGAGGATGACGTGTGATGGTAGGGGGGTCGTGCGCAATAGGTAAGGTATTTTGTTTTTTTTTTTCCCTTGTTTTTCTTGGGTCAACATATAGACTAAGCATATAATATAATCTTTAAGGCAAGTTGATAATCCTTTAACAGGTAGTTTTCAATCAACAAGGAATGCTTCAACTGATCATTTTAACATATATGTTAAACTTCCTTCAGCTAAGCTATATATGGACCAATTGAGTTCCTATCTTGAGATAATTCTAGGAGAAGGTAAACACTCTATATGTTTTGTTATCATTCTATACATGAAGTCAATTCAAATATCTCTAGTATACACAGACATCCACCTAAGCCTTCTAATGAATGAGGGTGGGGACCCATCTCCCTTGTTCCTATTGTTAACACTATGATCATTTTTCTTAGTATTAATCTTCTAAAGCAATTTGATGGATAAAATCATATCCACAAATGGGATAGATCAAATAATGTTGTGAATCTTGCGTTTGATTCGGGGATAGACCATTGACGATAAAATGGCATCCAATTCTTAGACTGTGTATATAAAGATAATCACGAAGGCTTTGCTTATTATAGGCAACATAGAAGAAAAAATAAACAGTATATTAAATAACCTAAAATGCTAAGACTAACCACAAAACACTAATGACATGCTCCTAGCTTTTTACCTCTAGTTTGTTCCTTCTCAATCTCCTTGTGCATTATTGACTTTGATATTCCAGATTAGCAATTATTGATGTATTTTTATATGCTCGTGTTCTATGTCTCTATATCGTCTTCCTCATTCAATATAACGAATGAAAGCTAGTTGGTTGACATCTATTAACACTCAAACGAGTGACAAAAGAGATAAATAAGAGTAACAGCTAAACAATAAATGTTTAATTTCAAACAGAATCATTAAATCTCATATTGCAATGGAACAAAGGATTTTTTTTTTTTTAACTTGATTGATGTAAGTCCACCTCAAAAGAATTATTTTCTTAATCAAGAAGGGCAATATGAAAGATAATGTAAAAAATCAAAACAGAGGAGAAAAAGTAATTCAATGTTAGTTTTTTTAAGAAGATAATTATGGCAATATTGGGTTGCTAGCTAGAGATGATTTCCTGGCAAAATATGAGCTTCACTGAGAGCATTATCCAGTAATTAGATCGTACGCCAACTTGATAGCAAGTCATGTTATGGTAAATCTACAACCTTCTGAACTAGCATAAAGCATAGTCGGCCAACGATGGAGTAGAAGGGGGGAGCAATGAAAACAAGAAAGTAGAAGATTAAAGGATAAAAAGGAATCAATGCTTTTAAAGCACATTAACAAAGCTAGTAGAATAGCCATAGCACTTTACTTTTTTGACCAATTATTCTACTTCCTATCAGTAATAATTGTTTTGGATTTGTCTCTATTAGTTTTATTGTAAAGCTTTTATGTCAGTAAGTCTCTATATAAGACGCTCAGCAAGATAAAGACATTTATCAAGTGTTTAGAGGTTATAAGTTGAGTAGCGAAATATAGAGATTTTCTTCTCCCTTATATTTCCATCTATATGTGATAATTTTCTTGATGTTATGGACATTTCCACTTCCCTCACATCGGAAAGAAATTTAAACTGCTGAATATAAAATCATATAACTTTCTCCGAAGCACTTCCCCAACTTCAACTTTCAAAAGGCAGTCAGTTTCTCCCACTAATGAGCCAAAAAGTCCCTTAACTCATTCTAGACCTTGGCAATTTACCGACAGCATAAATAAGTATGAGTTAGAGAACAGGAACTATAGTAGCAGGTGATTTGACCCAACAATTTATTTAAGATTGCAAGAAAAATAACACCAAGAGTCATATCATTATATGAATTTTCACTTATAAGGTTCAAAGGGAGAATTTGATGATGATTCTTACAACTTCTCCAGAACTAAGAATCCTATGCGCAAGAAATGTGGAGACATCATACCTGCAAGGAGAAAATAATGCGGATGAGAAATCACATATGTAGTCATAGAATTCAATTAGGAACCAAATCAATATATGTTTACAGGTACAGAAGGCTGTATACAAATTAAATTTCAAAAATGTTAGGTAGATTCTATAAATTAATTTGTTAATGATACTTATTGAGGAAGTTGAACATAATTGAAGAATTGAAAATCAAATACCAAAAAACTGATTGAAAAAAAAAACAATCAATAGAGTGCGAAAATACCCATCAAATGTGAAGCAAAAGATTAGGTCACGGTTTCAAAAATTCATGAAACACGTCATTTTCAAATTTAGCATGATATGAAGGGGCTTGTTTATGTACATTCAAGGCATAAAAAATATATTAAAGGTGTTGACGAATGGAGAACAACAGGTAAGCACCTTTGTCATGTATGAACAACTCTGATCAGTACTTATGTAAGCCCTGTTAATTAATTTTCTCATGATGCATCTGATAGGAAATACTTGAGTTCGCAAGTAACCCTAAGGGAATACTTGTGTTCGCAAGCAAACCTATCACTAATTGGAGATAAAACAGCGAGAATTCAGCCAAAATCTGGGCGAAATCAGCCCCAAATCACTAAATTGCAATAAGGGAAACAAAGCAAAAGCAACATGAAATCAAGATACAAGTGATCCTCAATTCGAGAGGAGGATCATCTCTCCCAAATCTCTAGACAAGAGAGTCTAGAGCCCAAAACACCCAAGAAACTCCAAGAAGAAAACAATACTTGCATGCCCTTCCCTTCCCCTTACCTCTCCTATTTAAAGACTTTTCCACCTCCTCAAATCTTTCCTAAAAATAATTTTCAAATAAATTCAAATCCCGTGGACCCCACCCTTAGGTGGTAATTTAATTTGGGCAAGAAAGGAGGCGAAATTGCCTCCTTTGGTATACAAGTGCCGGCCCATGATGGGCTGGCTGAGGCGGTTCAGAAGGAACCGCCTCAAGAGGCGGTTCCAAAGGAACCGCTGTATCAGCATCATTCAATGAGAAAACAAAAAATAAAACAAACAAGGAAAATATAGACTAAGGTTTGCATATTTTAGCATTTCACCATTTTGAGCAACTAAGTTATTCAAATTCATACATGGTTAGTTTGACAGAGATTCAAAATCAAGATTTGTTAATACTTTCTCGCAAATGATTTGGTATAAGCATTACTCTCATGGTTCTCTACCACATCTCTGGTTTCCTAAAAGGCCATTATAAAGATTAAAGCTTGTTATTTAGACTTTATGATGTAGAACTAAATGCTTGTAGATGGATGAAATAAGAATATTGCATGATTCCTTGATTAGAGCAATAAAGATGAAAACTTTAGCAAATTAAAACAATAAAATAAAACAAGAGAATGGTGCCTATGCTTAGGCCAAGCCACTTGCTAAACACTTGGAAAAATCAAAATAATTTAGAAACTCAACAACATGCTAAGTAGGCTTCAACAACATCCTAATCTAACAATAAGATTAGAAACAAATAAAGTGCACTCAATCCCTACGTTTACTAAGCTCGGCAGAATTTGGAGAGCAAGATCTTCATGAATCTATCAAATCAAAAGAACAAGTTAGACAATGAAAGTACAAGACAAGGGAGATTGGCAAACCCTTATCACGGTTGAGATTCTATCCTCCACTGAACGGCGCCAAGATGTTCTTCAATGGCCTCGACAGGGGTGTCCAGAATGTGCTCTACATACTCTTCGACGGTGTTGTCGATGTGAGGGTTGACATCGAAAAAGGTCGAGTGAAGGATGCAAACAAACCCTTGTTCGTCGTAGTAGGCGAGACAGTAATCAATATCCGAATCGGCCATTCATAGGTGCTAGAAGAGGATTGTCTCCAAAGATTACTAGCAACCCCTTTGAAGCTCCGTTAGAGAGAAAGAAGTTTCTCTCAAACTTGAAGTAGAGATGATGGTGGTGTGGCCGGCCAAGGGAGGAGGGAGAGGGTTTCCAAGCTAAGCTCTAATTAATTCCTATGATTGGAATTAATTAAAGGAGAGAGGAGCTATGTAGGGGCGGCGGCAAGGGGGAAGGAAAATAGGGAAAGTGTTTCCAAATTGCAAGAGTTGTATTTTGGAAAGAAATAAAGAGGTGGGAGATTTGAAAATTTCAGCTATGAGAGGGAGGGGAATTAAGAAAAGTTTCCCAGAGAGGGTAGGAGGATTTGGAAATAAATCCCTAGGGATTTAATTAAGGGGCCGGCGGCATCATGGGCTATGGGAGGATTAATGAGGGAGATTTGGGATTGCTATTTTGGGATTTAGTGAATAGGAAAGTGTTAAAGGAATTCCAATTAATTTGCAATTCAAATTGAGTTTAATTTAGGAAACTTTCCTAAAATAGATTAGTAATTTAGGAAAGATTTTAAATTTCAAATTGGATGGATTTGAATTCAAAATCTGCCCAAATTATATCAATCTAAAATAGGCAATGGAATTCCAAAGGAGGATAGGGGATCTAGGGCCGGCGGCTTACTTGGGTTGGGGTATGGGGGTCGGCGGCTAGGTGGGGATGTTTGTGGAGTTTGACGGGTAAAGGGAAATGGGTTCGGTGAAGGTGGAGGTTTGGGAGTGGGCGTGGTCGGTTGGGTTGAGGAAGGCCGGCGGTGGTGGTGGGAGGATGACGAGAAAGAGATAAAGAGTAAAACCACAAACCCGACTCGTCCAGGTTGGTGGGTGATGCGCAATTCTCCCTCTCCTAGGGATCTCACTCTAATCTCTCAAGCTCTCATGAGAACTCAAACAAAGAGAAGAAAACTTTTATAATTCAATCATTCATTAAATTGAAAAGAAGAACAATAGGGTTATAAATAGCCTCGTACAAAGACTCAAAAAAAAGGAACAACAATGCCCCTAGGGCTTACATACGACCTCTCTTAATAAAAGGGTAAAACGGGAAAGCAAGAAACACATAAAAAATAAAAGCTACATAACATAATGTTAGGCCGGCACCTGAGCCGGCTGGACCGGTCCAACCTGGACGGGTCCAGGTCTTCACCTGACGGAAGCCGCGCGAACAGGGAGGGGGCGGAAAACCCAGGGAGCCTACGTGGAGTCGTTTGGGAGGGAATATTTGAATTAGAAGGGGGTAATTAGGTCTTTTGTAATCCTCCTTTCATGTTTAATTAGGGTTATGTTGATTTTGAATGTGATTTGGGAGATCTAGGTTTTTCTTTTGGGCTCTAGGCTACGGCTAGAGATTTGGAGAGTTATTCCTTCCTCTCGAATCGAAGGAAACTTGTATCTTTCTTGTCTTTTGCATCGACTAGTGAAATTCAATCGTTTGCTATTGTTTTTCCTATTTTTCCCTACGAGTTCTCTCAGATTTTTCCACTGTTTTTGTGTTTGGTGGCTGTTTTCTCATAGAAAACAACGGATTAGTTGCGATTTGGCTTAGATCCGATAGGAATCACTTGAAATACTCAAGTGGTACCTATCACATAATAAAGAAAAAAATAAATAAAATGACTCAAAAATACATATACTCGATCGTGGTCGTAGAACGACGTCCACGCCTCTGATATACTTTCCATGCTATGATATCCCCATCACTTTATTTTGTAATAAATTCTCATTTCTTCCTTATCACAAACCCTGACACATCATAATCTAAATGAATCTCTCAATAGTCAACATATATGAAATCAGCTGAATAATCAAGCTCATCATAACTTAATCTCTTAAATAGCATGCTTTGTGAAGCTAGTAGACAAAAATAATTGGGTTCAAGTCATTATTTTTCACCTAACTTCTATCATTAATTTAAATGGCACTCACCATGTTCTAAAGTATGCATATAAATATACATATAAATAAATATATACAAGCAGCTAGCATAAAGCTCCCTATCAATTCACATCACATAACTTGATGCAACTAAATATATCTTAATTTGTTGTCAGAATCGGTAATAATACTTGATGCGGACATCCGACGGTGGAGTTAATCAAAGGAAGAGACGAAGATCGACAGCCGAGATCCCTCCATTTTATCTTAGTTTATTAATTGTATATTTGATTTAATTATACATTTTGCGTTAGTACCCTTACTTAAGGGTCTTGAGTTATGTAAGCCCAAGGGGAAAAGTTACCTTTTAGTTTCTTTTAAGGCCTATATATAGAAGCTCTTGCTCTTGTATTAGACTATGATGGAGTTTTAATAAAAAAAATTATTCTGCACTTTTATTCCTTGAGAGAACTTTAGTAAGATCTCTATGAGAGGGAATCGTAGTATCCACCAGCCGCAGGATGGGTTCGGGCTCGTGGCTTGAAGTCCCTTGGTAAAGGGCAACGTATCACCCGTCAACCGCATGAAGCATCCGGGCTCACGGTTTTATCTTTATTTCTCTAAACTCCTTTTTCTCCTTTTCCCTTGACAGTCGGCCATCCTCCATAGTCGTCAGCCAAGCTTCTCTCTTCCCTCCTCCCACTCTCTAAACCGAACACCACCACCCCTTCTCACCTCCACCCGCCGACCATAAGTCCCACCACCACCGGCCTCAAGGATCCTTTCTTCCTTACCAAAACCTTCCTTTTCCTCCTAGCCACCACTATCAAACCCTATCCCTCACTTGACCGCCAACCATAGTGCCTCTCTTTGGCTCCAAATCTTCAAATCACAAATTAATCCCTTTCCATATGTGGTGTATTTCAATTTGGATAGATTTCAAATTCAAATTTCAATCTTAATTGAATTGAGAGTCTTTCCTAAATTAGTTATTTGTTAATTTGGAAAGTTATTCAATTTGAATTCAAATAAATTTTGAATTTCAAAAACTTTCCTATTTAATAAATTATACTTTAGGAAACCTCCTTCAATTACTCCCAATCTGAAATTAATTTCAGATTTAATTCTCAATCCCAATTAATGTTTGATTCACATTCATTGAACTTAGACACTTCATCCTTCCCTCTCACTTGGCCGGCCCCTATATCCTAATGATTTTCTTCCTAATTAAAGACCTCAATTAAGGATATAATTAATTCCTCTCTTCCCTCCCTTCTTTTATTGTTTGAATTTCAAATTCAAATCCATTAATTAAGGGAAATCTGAGATGAAATTTTAGATCTTTAATTTTTATTACCCCCTCCGTTTCACATCAATACTATTTACTTCTTACAACCAATTGATGACAATTGTAGCATAATCACTTAACACAGTGAATATCAGATCTATGTTTCCGTGACAGCGTATGTCTGTCTAGAAACCTAATTTAGATAGCCACAAAGTTCAGAATGCTTTAAAGAACACAAGCAGTGCAGACTACTACCGTTGAATAAAACAACACTCAAATCAAAAAAAAATAGTTAAAAAGAGTGCATTACATACATGTCCATCAACAAATAATGAATCGCTAAACTTCCTTAAATCTCATCAAATTCATTCATACTTTTGGTAAGCTACATTAAAACTATTTATCAGCGTTGCAAGAGGACTGATAAAAATGGAAATTCTCATTAAAATAAAAACAATAAAAAGACGGATGATACAGGTTGCAAAAAAATAGCAAGCAGCCACCAAAATGTAAAGGAGAAGGCAGGAAGCAAGAAGGGATGATCTCTGCTCTTTATTCTACCCCCTACCCCAGCAACCCCACTGCAAATAAGAGAATAGGACAGAAAAGGGTGATGGTTGCCCATTTATTCTCTCCCTCCCTCTCTCTATCACCTCCCACAAACACAAATTGCATATGTACATGCGTGAATCTATTGTACACACACACAAAGAGAAATATGAACATGATCAGCACCTCTAGGATACCCTTAATGGCAAAGAAACGTGTAATGAGTGCTCCCTTTGTTAATGACAGGTGCTTTTTATAGCCGCATTAGCCTCCCTTCAACGGTCCTCTCTTTCCCTCATACCTAATTAGGTTCTCCATCGCCCCAGTCCCAAATCTGAGGAAATACAATATAAGAATAAAGAAATCTAATGACATAAAAGAGCACAGGCTATAGTGGTAGTGCTGGAATCAAGGAGGGACTAAGAGAGCCTCACGTTCTTAGAGTTTAAGACAAACCCTCTCGTAGATATATATAATATGGAAGCTTCACCCTTAATCACTCTTGATATCAGGATTAAATCTAACAGACGACCAATTAGATAGTTTACAATCATGAATTGGGCATAAGGTCAATCCAGTTTATTAATATAAATGCTAATGTTGGTGATCTTCATATCACATCATTAAGATCAAAGAGAATATTTCCAAGACTCTTATGAGCATGATTGAATCATCAATCGGACATCATATGAGGGAGATCAAGGCCTAAAAGTTGAACTATTAGATCAAAATTCAAATTATAGCAGAATAAGAATGAACTTGAATTTTCAAGCTTGTTCTTTTATTAAAAATTCAAGATTAGCACAATTCCTGCTAAAACTATATTTTAATATGAGCTTATTAAAGTTGTTATTATCAACAAGTTTTCCACTTATTGTGAAATTTGTTTTACAAATTAGATATTATATTCATAGTAACTGCAAATTAAAATTTGAAATTATGCAAAACAAACAATCAAAATTCTCCCAAAATAATTTCTTTTTCATAAAACCAAATTCCCTCGTCATTAAACTCATGTAAGTTAAGTCATAGGCTTCGATATTATGTACCCATTATTGATTGCCTTGTTACTGCTTTTTCCTTATCTACTTGTTGCTACTAGCTGTGCTATTGGTTATTGACACTGTTATGCTTGTAATCGTTGACAAATGTTGCTCTGTTTTACTGTTGCTATTTGAGGTTTTCACTTTTAGGATATTAGGTTAAGCTCTTAAGATCATTTTGGAGAGAGTTCAAATTAGTTGTCAAAAGATTTATATCAAGTTTCTTAGTAAGCTTGTTCATGAGCTTTATATCGAGCTAGATGATATTGTTCATAATCATAAATAAATCGAGCACCAAATTATTCAAGTTTTTACATTTGATAATCGAGTATTTATAAAAGTATTTAAGCTTGTTTGCTTAGTCAATCAAGCGATTATGAATGAGCTCTAATCAAGTCAAGCCATGAGCAATTTGTTGACCTTTTGATTCGTTTGCAGCCTACATGCAAGTCCCTGGTAATGAAAATCTGATAGCATCTCTCGCTATCTTTGTTGTTGTGCATGTTGTTAATTGGTCCTGCCACTATTGTGTCTGTGTGTGAGATCTCTATTTGGTGCCATGTAATTGTTGCTTATTGTTGTTGTTGGTTGTTGCCACTATTTTTCTTATTGTTGCCAATAGTTGCTACTCCGCTGTTTTGTTGCTTATGTGAATTTCACTATTGCCACAACACTCATCGAAGCAAATACTAAATAGCAATAGCTATTTTTCCCCAAAAAAAAAAATTTATCGTGAAGGAGAATCTTAATACACTGCAAATGAAAAAAATAAATTAAAGAAAGTTGGTCTTCATTGTCTATCACTTTAAATCATTATTCTGCTGCTATATAATGGGCACATGAAGCTTCCCTTTCTACTATTGTAGTCCCCATGGAAGACCCAAATGTATATTTTACAATGGAGAGTTGGAGAAAGGCAAGAAATGTAGCCACTAGCCATAGCCAGCCCCAATGGAAATAAAATGGAGCTCAAACCTCCAAAAACCCAGTAATATAACAAAGGAATCTCGCCCGCTCTCGCTTCCTCTATTTACTTCCGTGTTTGGTACTTTAATGATTTATTTGTTTATTAATGGCTAAGTAGGTCAAAATGGACCATGATGAAACTTGCAAAAACCAAGTGATGCGGACATCCAACCGTCTATGTCTATCCGAGGAAGAGTTGAAGATCGACGGCCGTGATCGTCCTACGTTATCTTAAATTTTTATTTGTAATTTTTATTTTAATTATGTATTTTTCATTTTTACCCTTACTTAATGGTCTAATCTTATGTAAGCCCTAGGGGCATGATCTTCTTATTTTAGTTTCTTTTATTTATGAGGCCTATATATAGAGACACTTGCTAGTGTAATGGAATGATGGATTATTAATAAAAAAAAGGTTTGCACTTGTGTTCTTTGGAGAGAACTTGGGTGAAATTTCTATGGGAGAGAATCAGAGCTTCCACCAGCCGCAGGATGGGTCCGGGCTCGTGGCTTGAAGTGTTGAAGATCGACAGTCGTGATCGTCCTACGTTATCTTAAATTTTTATTTGTAATTTTTATTTTAATTATGTATTTTTCATTTTTACCCTTACTTAATGGTCTAATCTTATGTAAGCCCTAGGGGCATGATCTTCTTATTTTAGTTTCTTTTATTTATGAGGCCTATATATAGAGACACTTGCTAGTGTAATGGAATGATGGATTATTAATAAAAAAAGGTTTGCACTTGTGTTCTTTGGAGAGAACTTGGGTGAAATTTCTATAGGAGAGAATCAGAGCTTCCACCAGCCGCAGGATGGGTCCGAGCTCGTGGCTTGAATTCTCTTGGAGAAGGGCAATGTATTACCAGTCAGCTGTAGGATGTGTCCGGACTCACGGTTGTATCTTTCTTTCCATAAATCCTTTTCTCCTCTTCCCTTGACCGCCGGCCAAAATCCCCCACTTGCCACTAGTCGATTCTCCCACAAACCCCTCCAAAGCCATAAGTCTCCTCCATTTTATCCATATCAACCACCGGTCATAAACCCTCCACCTCCATAGTCGGCCGACCACCTCACCCCAAGCCTCTTCCCTCCTTCATTCCCCTTTGTTTTCCTAAATTAGGTTGAAGATAATTTAAAAATAATTTTGAATTCAAATCCAATTAGTTTGAAATTCAAAACCATTCCTAAATTACTATATCTATTTTTGGAAAGTTCTTCAAATCAAATTCCAATCAATTTGGAATTGTATTTGATTAAATCATTTCTCCCTTAATTGAAGACTTGATTAATTTCCTTTTCCTTTCCTCCCATAACCAGCCCCTTCTCTCTCTACCTGCCGCCCCTTCCCCATTTGCTCTTAATTGGAGTCAATCTTGCTTGATAGCCTTCTTTCCTATTGTGGATGTGTTTTAATATGGAAAGCATTTGAATTTAAATTCAAATGTATTTAAATTTCAAATCATTTCTCTCATTTAGTTATATTATTTTAGGAAAGTATTCAAATCAAACCTATTTCAAATTCAAATAGGATTTGATTTAAATATTCCTCCCTAATTTAAGGTTCCCCACTTGGCAAGCATTTAAATCTCTCTCAATAAACTCCCAAGCCCCTCTTAATGTCGCCAACCCCTCCCCCCTTAGTTATTTAATTCTTTAATTGGATATCCAATTATGAGATTTAATTAACCACCCCCTTTTCCTCATTTATTCAAATTCCCCCCCCCCCATATATATATATACATATGCAAGAAACCACCAAGAGGGTCCTCAGAGAAAGGGAAAATAAAACAAGAAATTTGAGTGTAAAAAAATATTTACATGCACGGTTAGTATTCATATTTCATACCACGCCATATCTCTAGATGACCTGGCCTCAAATTCCATTTCCACTTCTTCAGTAACTTTCTCGCCATCCTCTAATTAAAACATAAAAAACAGTTTCAATAACTACAATGACCAACCGAAGTGAAAGGATAATAAAATAATAGATGTGAGTACGAGCAACATTTCATATTAAAGTTATTATATACACAATAGGAATGACAAATGATCGCTTTGATTAATAGCTACTAATCATCCTATGTTTTATAAGCAAAGCTTAAAAATATTGTTCTAGTTTATGGACAATTATCACTTGTAGAAATTGATATGAGAAAGGCAAATAAACATATAATTAGAAGTGTCTGCCGCAAGATATGCTTACTTGGGTTTACATTTTGAAGCAAACAGACAAACAGAGCATGTGAGCACAAATAAATATATTCTCGTGAGGTAACAAAGAAATAACATCAAACAACTACAAAAATTAATCAGCCAGTGAACAACCTAATAGGAATTGACATCAAGAGTGATAGTTTAAGGAGTGATGTTTAACGTAATTATCAGAAGCATTAGCTGCACCACGCCAGGATAAAGTCCAAAAAGGTAAGAAACAGTAGGTTAACTGTACAGGCTAACATAGACTGCACAGTTAATTTACAGGAATGATTAGCTCCGTACTTTTTACAAGATGTAATCATAAAAATGCTGAAAATTAGATACAGCAAAATTTTTTGAATGTCAAATCACGGATGATTCAAATGAATGATGGAATAAGTCCTGTCATGATTTCTATCACTTTTCGTCTTTATGTCCATATCTAGATCACTTTTTTTTATTTTGGAAGTTTTTTTTTTATCAAAATACTATATTTCTTCTACACATCCATCTCCAATATATAAAAAAGAATCTTTAGGATCATTTAAAAAAAAATCAATAGTCAATCACAATTCAAAGGAAAACCTATTTCCCACATAAAGCACTGATCTATTTCTAATGCCAACCAAGAAATTCGATCAGGTGACATTCAAATATGAAAGATAATCTTGGTTTCTAGGCAGGTGGTCCTAGTCATTCATATATTTTTTGGATCACATTCGATTCAAATCAAGGACCTCATTCCAGGGACATAAGGTACAAAATAGGAAGAGAAGATCTATGATAATAAGTGACCACTGGTTCAAAGTGATCGTCTTGATCATCAATCATATCACTTAAGCAAATGTCAAATGTGCTTCATCTAAAAAAAGAACCAGGATTTGAAAGCATTGACAACTCCAATCAAACCTTTTTTTTGGAGGTAGATGATGAAATAATAAACATTTATTCGACCAAATAAATAACTAGAATCTAGGGAGAAAGAAAGTGGTACAAACATCAGCATTACAGTGAGTATCGTAAGAACAAAGAGAGCATTGTTTTTCTAGTGATTAAGCACCTTCAGGCAAATTAGAACTATGGACTGCATTGATTGTCAAACTTTCCTCACCATCAGGACTCACTTCTTTTGAAGAACTACGTGAGGTAGCATCCTCAGTTTTATGAAACTTCAACCTGTTTAGGAACCATCTTTGCACCTGATATATTAAACAGGAAGGAGAATAATCCTCGCAATAAGCGCTTTAAAGTTATGAGAATAAAGATTTATTAGCAATATAAATATAAACATTCATAATCAATTACTTGCTCCATTTGTATGGTTTTACTTTCAACACGACCTGGAGCACGACTGAAAAAAAAAATAGAAAAAAAAAACAATTAAATATCTTATAGATCTCTTAGTCAAAGGTAAGAAATAATCACAGCCAAAAGAATTACTTAATCATATTTTAGTTTTGTCTCAAACAGATAGAAGATCTGAAGTAAGGCAACATGGGGCTCACTTAAATTCATCGGCAAGCTTCTGGTGAAAATTTGGATCTGACAAATCTTTTCCCTCCCGCAACAACATCTCCATATGCCTAATCTGTTAAAAAAAGGCAAGTGATACACAAATATAAAACAAATAATCTGAGAAAAAAAGTTTGAATGTAGGTGCCTGGGAAGCTCAATTTCAGAATCATGTCTACACATCAATGAAATATATCACAATACATTTCACGTAAACTGATAGCTTTACTCATAAAATTTCTGGAATGAAAATGACAGATTCAATATCACTATATCAGAATTGTGAAAATAACAGTCATGGGTCATAACTTCCATATTAACGCAAGAGCAACCTCAAGAAGCAAAGAACGTATTTCATTTGGATGGAACAATGCCTTTACGAGCAATGATAGAGTAGAAAACAATGGGTAGATCACCGTAAAAGTTGTTTGTATTTGAATATCGGGCAGTAAAAGTTTTCAGTAGCTAATTTAAGGATGGATATGATGAGAATGTTAAGATGAAAGTACGACAAAACAATAAAAGATAAGTTAAGGGATGATTGTATTAGACTATTAGATGAGCAATTAAAGTGATATATATTGAAGATGAGGTCCTTGAAAATGGACGTAGATGGTTTAGACATGTATAACAATGAAAATGCTCCCGTTAAATAGGATAAAATTAGTAGAAGAGAATTAGAAATGAGGAATAGGCCTAAGGTAACATTCACTAAGTTCAAAATAATTTATAAAAAATAGATTTAGCACTCCAAGCTGCTCTAAGTTGGAATGAATGAAAAATGATGATTCATAAAGCAAATCCAAAATAGTTGAGATAAAGCTAATGATGATGATTATTGAGGCAAAATTCACTTAGAGGAAAAAGCATGCAGACAAAAACAACCACTGGCAATGTTTCCAAGTATAAGATTGAGACAGAATGCTAAATGTATAAGTTAAATGCCTAACTAGGACAATATGGATAGAGAAATCCTGCTCTTGATTCTTGGAGAAAGTATACCAGTAAACATCTGCCCTACTAGATGTAAAAACAAAGTTCTTAGCTAATTTACTTTCAAAGTGGTCATTCTAAGAAAGATTCACGTAATACAGTTAGAATTTCATGAACATCAAAGACATAATTTAAACAAAAGAAACACAGACAAATAAAAGTTGTATCCAAGAAGAGAACAGTAAAAATGGTGAAATCTTATTGTTTTGTTTACATTAGGATTGCAACATATTCCAAATTGACCTAGGAAAATATCAACATGCATTTCAAGCCATACACATCAAAACAAAAAACTTCACCATGGTTAATTATTTTGACGATTAAGTTTCAAACAAAACAAGTAAAAGCATAATTCTGCTGAAATAGATGAAAGCATCAAGTTGTGACACTATGCTTAAAATGGTAACCAAGAAAATTACAAATTTTAGTTAGAGCGGCGATAGAAAACTTATAAGAAATCAAAGGCTACAAATCAGAGACACGTCGCCAAGAATTATACAAAGAATCACGATCCTCAGAAAAAGAAGACAAACTACATCATATCGTAAAACCTAAAGATAGATCAGCTTATCAGGCGTAAACCAAATAAACTGGGAGAAGGGCAAAACCTCGGGCCTCGAGAAACGAGAAGCTTTTGCCGGCTTACTCTGCACTCCGACCATTCCCTAAACAGCCAAGAAGACAGGAAGAGAAAGATTAGTGGCACTTTTACAACTGAGACAGGAAGATACGGTAGAGAGAGCGAGATCTGTCTTTTATTAGTCTAGCATAACCGAGCAACACAAAGGAAACGGGAAATAAATATATCAAAAATATAATATCGATAAAGTTATAGAAGAGACGGGGAAATGGAGAGCTCCGGCGAGGGGAGCGGACGAAGAGAAATGATAGAACTCTGCTGCTCCCTCTGTCGCTGCTACGGTCCCTCGCTCTGGCGCGAGCCTTTTTCAGGTTTTGCGGTACAAAGTGCGCAGAACATAGAGAACAGAACGGCGGGTTTATAAACACGGGAGGTGGAGAGGCTTCGTTTGTAAAGTTTTTTAACACGACCTCTTTTTTTTTCTGTTATTAAAAAAATTATATTAAAATTTATTTTAAAAAGAATTAAAAATTGTTCAAATGAAATCTAAAATTCTTGTAAGATGACTTTCTTATTCTTATATAAAATAATTTTTAAGTACAAAAAAATTTATACTTGTTACGTCGGTAAAGAAATATATAATTTAACGTCTTAGCATTATAAGAAGATCCTGCACACAATTAGATAAGAGGAAAGGGTGTAGTATTCATAAGAGACACCAGAGTTTTTACGTAGAAACTCCTAAAAAGGGGAAAAAACTACGGGGTCTGACCCAGTTTGAATGAATCCACTGGTATTTGCAGTCGATTACAAATGAGGCCTTCTTAGAGAGAATGTCTTGGCTTGATGTTACAAATGTACGTCATATAGAGCGCATTACATGCTGGAAGTTACAATAATCAACATAGACATGTTTGTTTGGTTGGAATGGCCATTACCTGCAAGTGACAGAGGTCAGAAAGACTGTTGTTTGGTGATGTAGGTCGGAATGACCGTAGTCGGCAGGAGACCGAGGTCAGAAAGATCATTGTCTGTTGATGGGGTCCTCCCTCAAGAGGAGAGGGATATCTATTTATAGATTTCTAGAGTGGCATGGGCCGTAAATAGGTGAGAGATCAAGAGTAAATGGGAAGTGGTCGGATGAACGGACGATGTTAGATCCCTTGATCATGCACCGTTCTTTAGACATTTGAAGACCTTAATGATGTCGTAATTCGACGATCTTGGGCTCGTTGGATTCGTCTTGTCAATCCACTCAATTCGAGTATAAGCTTGTTATGTTTGGAAACCGTTTGGTAATCCAAATTGTGGTTTGAACCTTCCAACAGCGCTTCGGGTCCTTGATTTGGACCCATTTGGGCTCGGATTGGGTTGAATTTCTCAGTTTGACTGTAAGTTTACTGAAATCAGAGTCGGATGGTCTATGAATTAATTTTTTAAGTTTCCAACTTGATTTTGCATCGAGATTCGCGCCCGTTTAAGACAATTTTTTAACAACGTATCAATACTAAATACTTCTTAAAAAATAATAATAAAATTATCTCAAATGAAGTCTAAACATCATGCTAAATCCATGAATAATAAACTGTCAATATGATTCAACACTTCTTTTTCAATCCAACAATATAAAGAGAGACATTCAATAGTACTTTTTTTTCTTCCAAAAGTAATCATATTCAAGTAATACATCATAATATTGTTAAGGAGATAGCCACCCTAGACCTTTATATTATTTATTGATGCAAGAGATAGCACACTCTTATGTTGATCTTCTTAATGGAGCGAGAGCACAAATTAAAGCTGACAAAGATGTTGTTCTCCTTCTTTTTGTTATTGGTCACTTACACGGTCTTATCATTTGCATTTGGTAGTTTAATCCACCTTATTGCATGTTGCACTAATGTGTTTGATAAAGTCTTTCCTCGTGTATTTTATCTTGATTTGTCGTCGACTTTAAAAATTTATTTATTTCAATCGCATGTCATCATTTATTATGTTTTAAATATATGTGATCGGGTCGACACTTATTTGATGAGTGTTTTACGTGCATTTAAATCTTTTATGCACATTTTCGTTTCGCAAATAAAATAATTTGATGGGGACCTCTTCTTTTAAAACTTTATGCACATTATTCTAAGGTCAAGGCCTAAAATGTAATTAATCATAGAGGATTTGTACATGTGAGAAACTGCCACCCTTCCCTAAAATGTATCAAATGGAAAAAATCTTGTGGATATCGAGTTATACATATTATTATTTATCAAGATGTGTAGGCAAAAGCCGTTATTTTTTATGAATAATCATATGTATAATTCTATATGCTCTTCTATCGGTCCGCTTGTATAGAGTGTAAATGCCTACAACCATTTTGTTATAAGAAATTCTGTGATCATGCTTTTTACATTATAATCCCCATAAGCAACATATTTTTGGAGACCCACTAGGGCTATTATGATTTTGGAGCTGGATTGCTATCCTTCTATTCCCTAAAAAAAGGGATTTTATTGAGAGAGATAAGGGGTTTTATTTAGACCTGTCAAAAACGGGTCACGGGTCGGGTTCGGGTCCAACCCGAAATTGACCCGACACTGTTCAACCCGACCCGACCCGACCCGGTTTTTGCAAACGGGTCGGTTTTCCGAACCCGAACCCGACCCGCTTCGGGTCCGGGTCAACCCGACCCGACCCGCTTCGGGTATATTTAATTAAATTTTTTTTATTTAATTCATTTTATTTAAATTTAAATCAAATTAAGGGTAGATTTACTTCAATTAATTTAAAATAAATCAAGATTAATTTAATTTGGGCAATAATATTTATAATTTTTTGAAATATTATTTACTTATTTCATAAAAATTCATTAAAATCCTCCAAAATTAATTAAAAACGGGTCAAACCGGGTCGATTTCGGGTTTCCGGGTCAACCCGAACCCGACCCGGTTTTACAAACGGGTAGAAATCTCTAACCCGAACCCGACCCGGTTCGGGTTCGGGTTGACCCGAACCCGAAATTTTCGGGTCTGGTTCGGGTCGGGTCCAATATTGACAGGTCTAGTTTTATTGGCAGTGATAATGGATTTGTTGGCAGAGATAAGAGATTTTGTTGGCAACGATAAGAGATTCTGTTGGCAATGATAAAAGATTCTACTAACCATTAAGTATGTTAAGGAAAATTGAACCTGTGTGCTAATTTGAATTTTGTTATAAGATGTTTGTTTATATTTTTGTCATTTTTAATATAATTTCATTAGTTATTTAATTGCATTTAATATTAGTATATGTTTCAAATTTTAGTTTTACATATAGTACTTCATTTTATCATTACAGCACAATATTTTCAATCTTTTTGATTTCGAATATTGATTTATGTTTTATGCTACAATATCCTATTGAGTCGTGTTAGCTCGCTCTTGCTTTTACTTCCATTTTCAAGTTTGGTAAAGGGCATAGAGCAAGCTGAGTTGTTGATGGCAAGCTAAGATTTGTGATGTATTTATTTTTTTTAGAATTGTGACGTATTTATGTCTTAGCTGATTCAATTTTATAGGTTTGGCTTTTATCTTTTGTTGTATTATATGTTACCCAGCACTCTCGTAGATATATCTCATACTGACTATGTTTTTTTTATGATAATAGATAAATTATTTTTGAGATTCAATCTTTCACTTTATTTTGTATTTGTATTAAATTTGTCATTTGTATAAATTAAAAGTTTACTTTTTTCATACTTTTCAAACTGGATCTTAAGTTTATGGTTCTTGTTACGATTGGGCATGATGTGATCTATGTGATATGGGGTCATATCCAATATGGTTGTGACATTACATCTACATGTGATAATTCTCAAGAGAGTTAATGTTTAACAACATTCAAGTACGAATAATTTAAAGTTAGAGAGATGATCACCCATTATATTTTGATAAATGAAAATCTTGCTCTGTTGTGGAAGAGTTTAGCTTCGATTTAATGTTGAAAAGTATGTCACCATATCTTATAAAGTATAATGAACAATAGCTCGAAATGATGTGATATTGGTGCATGGTAATTAGAAGAAAAAGTTACATGTTGCATTAAAAGGCATAACTTGACTTTGGTTTACTACTAATATATGGAAGTCCAATAATCAAATAAGTTCATATATGATAGAGACAATACATTATATGGATTATAATTGAAAATTACATAAGTGTGTGCTTATCTTCTCATACTTGCCTCTGCACACATGACATATGAGATTGTTAACACATTTTATAAATCAATTGGTGAGTGGGGCTTAGAGAGCAATGTCTTTATAATATATGTTGATAATACTACAAATAATGATAGGGAAATTAAGTTGCTTAAGGATAACTTTCGTGTGAGAAAAAAAAAAATATTTGTTAAAGGTGGCTCTTTCATGTGTGATATTGTGCACATATTTAAATTGATCAGAATGGTTAATAGTTGCTAAGGCAGGAATTTTGGGAGGGGGCTAAGTTAAAATAATTATGTTTGCAATCTCACATGGAATGTTATAATATATTAAATTAGTTTTGTTTGTTGTCTCATAAACATATGCCACTTGTGATCTTCGTTTGGGGGCAAGAGAAGAGTGAAATGGAAAACAAAAGTCGTGTTCGAGGTCCTAAGTCGCGAGGGAGGATATGTATACATATGCGTACACATATTATGTACACAGTTGTATATATTATATGTGCACAGATTTATGCATGCATTATATACACATTGTTATGCAATGTATACAAATGCACTGTGTAACACCACACCTAATAATTTATCCTTATGTAGATCAAATGCATTGTGATTTAGCCATCATTCGCAATTCCCACACGACCACTAGTTGATTCACTATTTGGCCTCCTTTCGCTATCATCGATGCATAGGATCGTGCAAAAATTGTTTGTCCCAGTCAAGTTTTATTCTACTTTTGCTCGTCTCTTCACCGATGCGAGATCTGACATACGATCGATATGTATCACATATTCCCTTTAAATGATTAAACGATTTATGTACTTCCAAATTTGAGGGATATCTACTGTCACTAACCGCGCAGATCTGCAAAGTTTTTTTATGGAAAATTTGATTACAAAATGCTAAAATATATTGGACGCTACTACATGTTTATTTGGGAAGAATTGGCTTGGACTTTATTTGAATTTATTTTTGAATACCCCATTTCAAATTTATTCCTTTCACTTGTCTATACAACAAATAAGGTTTTGGATGATGCCATGCATTCTTTTTAGGGTATCATAAAGAAAATTTTCATGAAAAAGAAAGGTTAAATTTGACAAACACTAGGGTTATTTTGTAATCTTCTAATGACCTTTTGTGCTATTATGGACTTGAGAATCAAATTAGTTATAGAGTTTGCATTTTCAAAGATCTATAAGGGGGATGAAAATATCCAAAGTATCT